TTTGGTGAAATCTCGCGAGGTCTCGTGATTTTACGAGACAGGCGTTTCCCAAATGCCAATCTCAAAGAATAATTACGTCATAAATAGAGCTGTTTCCTCTGACCTGTCTATTTTTTTCACTGATTCATCCAAATAACTTTCAGTACATCATTTCTCTGGCAGTTTGGCGGACACCGCGTGTAGTTTCAATGTTGAATTGTAGCCTCTACCAGGATTCGGGAAGCGGTTGGAAAGAGTAGAAACTGGCCAAATAGACAAAATATGCCAGACTAGTTGGTCTGTGCTTAGAGTTTGCGACGAAGTATTCTCTTACTGTCTTAGCGCGGACCAACTCCCCCGGCATAAGTTCTATTTTTTTTTTCGTTCTAACCGTTCTAGCCCGAATCCAGGTAGAGACTAGATGAAACCCCTGATGAAACATACAACTTGCCTTCGACCAAGGAGCCGAAAGCTTCCCACCCCGTCGCGAATCTTTAGCGGACGCGTGAGTTGTCAACCATGTGACGTGTGAAGTCAGGCAGTAATCCATTTACTTTTGTCGCTTCGGTGGATTCATTTTTTATATCTTTTGGCGAATCTTGAATATTCCGACACCTTGCCATATGACTCTATTTTCCTAAGCGTTAGAGACAAGCGGGGGGGGGTTAAAATCATCTTTATTTCAATATACAAATATATACAAGATGACTCGTTGAAGTACACCTAGGCCAGCCCTTTATCTCATTATAATTAAGAGGAGGGCGCAAGGTACTAGTAAGTAAAATGTAAGTGTAAAAAGTAAGTAAAAAGTAACTGTGTGCATCGGACATAAAACTTTTCGATTAAAATTGTTTTCTATTTTTACTCCTTTTTTATATAAACGACCTGGACTTTTTTGTATTATTCATGGTCCAGTCTTTCCACGTTACACTGAACTTCATCTTTATTATGACCCTTATTAAAGCATTCTTATTAGAAAGCGAGAGACAGTCATATATTAGGTAATACCAATATTTATTATATACATAGGAATAGAAAAATACATCTTTCTTTGAATACAACCAAACACAGTACAACGATGTCGCAGACATTCCTGTTGAAATCTTGTATAGGATAATTGTCTTAGGACAGGAAAATCAAGTTACAACTACTTGGGGCATTCGGTATAGAGAAAGTTATTGTCCAAAATATGTTGGCTATGTCATGACTCATAAGAAAATCGCTATTATATATACATTTTCTCCAGTTATAAACATTCAGATAACTGAGGAGGTTTGAGGATAAACATGTCAATGCACGCCTACGTTGAGAAGTCCTGGGTTGTGTCTCAATGGTTCCTGGGGTGAGTTAGGTGCCCCGCAGCCGGGCGGCTGGTGAGTGGGGTCCCCCCAGGTGTGGCAGGGCTGACCGCGGTATCCTGGGGGCAGCATCTGGCCGGGTACGGCGTGTGTCGGGGGTACAGGTGCAGATGGGTGGTGCAGAGAAGACACGGGGACCGTGTAAGGGTGATAACCCTGTCCGTAGTGATGTTGTACGGGTCCAGCGGGATGGACGACTGGCGTAGGCGGGAGACCGTGACCGCTGTGCCCGAGCATGTTGGGGGTGAGTCCCGCCAGGGTGACGCCCAGGGACGGGAAGAACGCCAGGTGCGGGTGGTGGTGGGGGCCGTACATGCCGAACCGCCGCGCCTCGCTCTCTGCGTCCTGTACCTGCCGCTTCCACTTCATCCGCCGATTCTGGAACCACGTCTTCACCTGCGGAGGACAAACATCAATGTTTACAAGCTTGCATTTCCTTCAAATTGATTTGCTCAACCTTTCCACCAATCAAATGCATTGTACATGGTGACCAAACATCTACCAAGGAGGCTTGATGCATCTACATGTACTAAACACACTACTAGTATATAACTGTTGCGTATGTGTCGTGTCTATATATATCCTTCAAATTGATTGGCTTAACCTTTCCGCCAATCAAATGCCGGAGTTGTACAGCATTTGAAACGGCATGGCGACAAAACATCTATATAGAGGGGGTTCGATGCACCTGTTGCTTATGTTTCAAATGCCTCTAGATTAAAAACGAGGGTAGAACTGTTGGACCGTACCTGTGCATCTGTGAGGTCCAGTGCGTGGGCCAGCTCCTCTCTGTCCGAGGCAGACAGGTACTTCTGCGTGCTAAACCGTTTCTCCAGCTCGTGCACCTGGTGGTTGGAGAACGCCGTGCGCAGCTTCTTGCTCTCCCGCGAGGGAACACGCTCGGGGCCCGGGGAGTCTCCGTCCGGGGTGTGTGAGGAGTATCGCTCTGAAAATCAACGGCACCAATATTTAAAAAACGGAACAGAACAGATAGAAAGAAAGACCAAATGGGCGATGGGCCAAAATTAACCTAGAAATAGTTACAAGTGGACTAGACGATCTAAGTACGCGTACGTGTGAAGAAACATATAGAATATGTTACTCTCCAAGCAGAGGGAAGGCTTGGTTTGGACGATCTGTAGGCGTTTTGTTGGTTTAGCTTTCTGCTGGCATATTGGCCTGTATCTTTTATTGGTATGTACAACAAAAAATGACAAAATCGAAAGCCTAAAACGTTCAAAGCAAGCCTAGCATCTGTCTGGCGAGGTCTGGCGAGTAGAATATGTTAGGAAAGAAGTACATCGGTGGTTCATACCGTTCTCAACATCGCTGGTGTTGTCTCCGTCCGACGTCTGCTCTGACGTGGAGTCGGCGGGAACTGCCCGGCACCCGGCCTGCTCTGTCCGGCGAGAGTCGGGGGAGATACTCGGGGAACTGGCCTTCGCAGCCGTCACTTTGGTCAGGGCCACGCGGGAACTTGGCTTCTTCATTGCCCGAGCCTGTATAAAGGATAAAGAAACACACGTTGAAATTGGTCAAATTTAACTTACGACGCAGTCGCATAATATTGTCCATCTATTTTGATGCCGTGGGATTTTCAATCAGGCTGTGACAGAACCAACCGCCAACAAGGATTTTTTTTAGACTGTCTTTCCCGTGACAATACTACTGAACGTTATTTGCAGGACACACGCATGACTATCCCAAATTCAGTTTGGGATCATATAATTTACTGTCGTTCGACGTACCCTGTGATCGGACCCTTACAGCGATAGCGAACATACAGATGACGAAAGAAAGCAAATAAGGAAAGTTACTTTTTCTTTTTCCACCCTTATTTAAGAAACGAGTTGCGATCTTGGCTTACCCTATGATAAAAGGACGGTTGTGTCGGCTGTGGCAAGACGGGGACGTGGCGCCGCACCTGAACCGGCGAGCTGGAGGAGGTTATCCGGGCCACCTCGCTGTCACACGCCGTGTCCTCCTTCTCCTGGACCCGGCTACTCTGAGCCAGCCTCTCGATAGAGAAGATGTGATTCCCTGCCATCTAGGCTCTATGCCGTACCTCCTAGAACTTTGGTAAAAGAAATTCTAGCGAGATGAGACCAACAAGAGCTGCGTCTAGTCCGACGTCCAAGTGCCTGAATGAAACCTGGCAGCTATACGAGTGGGTTTTAGAAGTTGACTAATTGTTTTATCACGTAAATTCGAAATGATTGTTGTTCAAAGAAGGCGGCTGCCTTTTTTCTCTGAAAACCAGGGCGCTAAATATCGGGCTTCATAACAGTTTACCTGATTAAGACAATGCCCCACCTCCCTGTGGTCGCCCTCATCCATTCCAAACGATTATGGGACTTCAAACGAAAACTTTTGTCACCCGGGCAACGGGGCGTCATCTTGAAAGAGGCCGACTAATCAAGGTCATTATGAACATGCAAGGCTCCCCCCACCCCCCGCGAGCGCCCCGCCCTTTGTTGTTGTAAGGGCGCCGGGGCGGAGAGACAAACCACCTTGGCTTTGGCTTCCGGCGTTGTCTTGACTGACAGGTCTAGCAGACGATCTTTCTCTTCTATCAGACAACACTTTGCACTAAAGCCGTCACAGTTACATATCTCTTCTATCATGTAGAAGATAGTTTTGAAAAGTATTTTTTTCTTCATGTGCGTCAAAAATCTGTACAGAACATGGACTCACTGTGTTGATACTTTAAATAGACAACCGCTTAAGTCTTTTCGTGGGACCAAAAATTATCAAATTTATCTATATCTTCATGCAAAAAATGTATCTGAAAAGAAAGTTAACTTTTCACGGAGCATGTAAATATTACGCCAGTTAAAATGCTTCTATTTCCTATGTAAAGTCTGTAAAATCCATACTATGGGGCTCTTCAGATTGAGAACTCCGAAAAAAAATCGGATCTCGAGACACTCGGAGGTCCTTCACTCAACTGGTAATTGGGGGATTAAGTTATTTCCAATTAAAGAGCGAACGGCCCTTGGGAGATTAGCCGTCTTTTTGTCAATATGAACGAATGAACGAGCTCATAAGTAAGGACCAAAGGCTGCAAATCAGACGAACAACGAAACAAAAAACAGAGATACTCTCAGGAGAGGGGCTGAGAAATGGCCAAGGGAGGATGTGGTCAGCTGGGAGAGATTGCTCTGTTTTTATGTGCAGCAATTCTCGTTATCCACGTGAATAGCTATAAATAAAACACAATCTGATTCATGAACAGGAAAATAAAAATCTTTTAGGGAAAATACAATCGATTACTTTATCAAACCTTCTATTTCGTTAAAGGGGCACCAGGTTTCTCGTCTTTCATTCTGGTGTTTGTCTAGTTAGTCTTGCCTCCTTGCTAGCATTTCTGAGTCACTATTCTTAAAAACACTAGTTTTATAGTTACCAGATGTTGACTGAGGTTACTATGCAACGATGCATTACTGCGGACCCAAAAAGTTACAGTTAAAGTTATCGCCCTATCAAAAATTTCATAATTTCTGGGATACTAGTACTAGTACCTTCTGAAGCCGGTCAATGGTTCTTAAGCAAGTGATATAATTTTAGGACTTCTTTTCGACTGTGTCTGTGCGTGATGTAAATGGCTGTGTGATGATTTCGACTATCCTCGTCAAGCCTAGAAGGAAAACAAGCATCAGTGAAACCGAAAAATTATCGTTAGGATGCGATCTTACCTCAAACAACCGCAAGTAACTGTGAACATGTATTAAGCCTGATCGCCGTCACAGACAAGCTGATAGCAAAAGCAGCCACGTGTCCCACACGTTTACAACAACTTGTTACTTGCCGCTCCCGACAAGAGGTCATATAGACCAAGCATGCTATATTTGGGGGAGACTTCAAAGCAATGAACTTTAAACAGTGTTGCCTTATCTTTTTTTTTTAATTCGGAAGAATTTTGCCTCCTCCAAAATGCATGATTTGCACATGTCGGGCAATGGTGGCATTTCATCCTTCGCACATGTATCGGCGGAGCTGGTAACCCTGCCGGATACCAATTCATAAACACATCTCGGAGATTCCTTACACCATATAACAGAGTACTTGGGTAAATTATATCCTCTGTTTTCTTGGAACTAAAAAATGTGAGAAGCTTCGGAGGGCGGATGGTCAGTGATATCAAAGGGGCTGACTCAATCTGATACAGATCTCTTCTTGTTTCCTCCGCAGTGCGATTTCTTACAAATCTCTGACAGCGCCAGGCGTTTTCCGCTTGACAGTCTTTATCAAATCTTGTCTGGTGAGCAGGGCAGTTTAGTACATGTGTGTTACATTGATTAGATCGGCACCGGACACGTTATGCAGTTTCTGTGTGGCTGAAATGGACACCCGTTATCTCTAGCCTCCTGTGCAGGCTCCGGGGCGGGTGGGGATTTTGATACAGCGTTTTGAAGAGTTTTAACGCCCACGGAATAAAACCTTCTCTATTGGCTGGTTGTAGGATGGCCGGCTGTTAAAAGAACGCGTTAAAAACTCTTCAAAACGCTGTATCAAAATCCCCACCCGCGCCCGGAGCCTGCACAGGAGGCTACATTATCTCAGCGACTATGTGTGAACACGTGTCCTGCACAGTCACCAGATTGGGGCATGTATCGTCGGAATCTATAAAAATCAATAATTTTATACAGTTTAGGGAGTCCCGTGTAATTTCTGTACATATATTACAAAATATTGCACGGTCTTTGGATTCACCATTCATCGACCGAGCACAAAACCTAATTGATTGTATTGTTTGTCAATATATCGCCAATTCTCAGGAAATGTCCTTTGGTCGTCATAAATGACAAAAGCTTGTTTTGATTCCAGGCGCCAGCGGGGCTGGTCAGTCTGGCATTTGATCTCTGTCAGAAAAGAAACGGGCAAAAATATTGTCAAATGTTACTAGCCTATGACTAGACGCACACCTTTCCCACAGTTTGTCGTGTGCGCTATCCAGGAAGTTTCTGTGTGACTGAAATGGACACTTACCCTCACTACTATATGTACATGTACAACGTCCTTGATTACATACAAAATGTTTTAGACATGTGCTAGACTCGTTTAGATTCCTGTCGGAGTAAAACGGATTGGCGAGAATGGCGACATTGACTAAAATTTGCGTAAAAAATCGTTTAGCTTGGGTACAGACGACGTCCAATGCAATGACTAGCTGGGATCTCTATGTCATATTTTACATATAATATTTTAGATTCTCTCATACATAATATCCTTGTATCTACAAAAGGTCGTGATTCCTCATCACTAATGAATAACCATAATCGGATGCATTGTTAGCTGGGAAGTTGTCTGTTTTCAGAAGTGTCATACATGACAATGACCGTGTTTGGGTTCCAGGCGCCGGCGGGGCTGGCAGGTCTGTCGTTTGATCATGACGTCATGTGGTGCAGGGAAGTACGTTCTTGCTACTCTCCAAGCAGAGGTTGTGGGGGAATGATCATTAGCTTTTCATATTTGGCCGTTTTTTGTCGCTACCTCCACCCGTCGGTGGCCGGCGACCTTCTCTGGCCAATGGATACTGTCTTGCCACCGAAAGGGATCTGCTTGGAGATCACGTTCATGCTCCAAGAACTTGTCATTTTTTCTAACTAGCCAGTTAGATTTTTTAACAGCCCGTAATAAGAAAAAGGCAACAAAACTGAACCTGTGGGCTGTATTATGCCACCTCCATGATTATGCTTAGAATGTAAATTAGTTGATACTAGTACCCAATTAATAGCCAGCTTTTTAGCAACAAGAGTCCTAGAAAAATCGTAAGAAAACACGTGTAAGACAGTTGTCGCCAGAACACAAATAACATTTCCATGGTGTAAAAACAAGGAAGTTTACACACGATATGTTTCCCACCCCGCTCTCCAAAAGGCGTGAACTCTCTATCGACCATGGCGACAGAACAAAGCTTGAGTGTTGTTTTTGTCGATCGACACGAAAAGTATCTATTTGTTCTGCTGATTGGGTAGTCCTGTTTCACATGAACATTTCTATTCAATTATTTTTCATTGCACGGTTGTCGTACGTGGCCGTTTCTTGTTTTGTAATAAACATACATTGTACTACTACTACTAGCACTAGTAGCAGTTTTACTGAGCATTACATTGCATTTATTCCACCAAGGAGGTTCAAAGCATCCTTTTTGAACCTCCTTGATTCCACCAAGGACATTACAAGTATATAATGTCCTTTTGATTCCACGCCCAAAGTCCTTTTATTTCATGCTCTACCATATGTTTATTATGTCCTTTTTTTATTGTCCCCATTTGGTATTTCGTACTTGTAAGGACAAGATCCAGAGATGTATTATTTCTTTCCAACAAATATCATTTTAAAACCGCAACTACTAGGAGTACTGATATCTACACATAATGATGGCAAACACTCAGTCCTGGTGGCGCCACAATAAAAACAAAGTTCATTGTGATTCAACTATCATACAGAGATGGGCGGGAAAGTTGGCTGTAAAGAACCGATTGGTCAATAGTCTAATTGTTTCACATGTAACAACCAATACTAGACGCGGGTTTATCTTTCTTCCATCTAATTTGCTCCACGCAACCATCACACAGTTTATACACCTTGAATAGCCGTATGGCACAACAAAAATGCTTGCAATTGTATCCATGGACGTATCAATGCCTTTTGATCGACGTACGTAGCGTACAAGTAAATAAGTACAAGTACGTTGCGAACATATGGCCCTAATTGGTCGTTCGACAAGTGCAAGACTGCTGTCGCCAGTGGACAAATATCACCTCCAGGTAAAAAGACCCAACAATTGTCTCTAATTGGGAAATCCTCCCGTTCTTCACACCTTGTTCACCATTGTTGCCCCATTGGAGGTGGTGAGAAGTCGGTAAACAGAGTTGTTGGACTTCTCTATTGTGTAGCGGGCAGCGATCTGTTTGTGTGGCGGGCGGGAGAGTGTTGGTTTTACACGGAAATACTCGTCTTGGAGTGTTTGTAGAGTTGTAAGTAGACATGTAATAGACTCAATGGGCTTGCAGACAAATATCGTCAACTTGACGAAGCGTTCAGATTGTAAACTATCGGAAAAAGATACATGTCTCTGCCAGTGCCTTGCAGGCAGTCAGAATCTTCCTTCTACATATATAACTATATAATAGAAGGCTCTACGACTCTGGCTTTTATATAAGGGTTTTGTTTTTACTGTATGCCACTTCTATTTGTAGTAGTGTTCTTGCGTCGGCCCAAGTCGAAGAACAAAACAAAGAAGTCTCATAGAAGCTATTACGAAATTGAAGGAGGTTTTCGTATTTCAAAAACATGAACTTGTAATTTCTCCAAACAGACAAGTGATTTCTCTAAACAGACAAGTTTCTGGCAGCGACGTAAAATGACCGGAAACCACACTGTAATTCAACCGTCGTACAAAGGGAGACACTTTCGTTTTACAATGGTTTAATGGTCTGTAATTACAGTATTTTGTTACATCTTGAAGTACCGAACATGCTAAATACCGGATATCATCCTGCCCATCGCGGGTCGTCATGAATAACAATGACGTTGTTTTGGTTTGGGCGCCGGCGGGGCTAGCGACGTCTGCTCTCTGATGTGACATATTTCCGTGAAAGAGCAATGCGGTTTAAAATTTTGAAAACCGGAAAAGCGATGAGTACAATTATGGGGTTTTAATAAAAAAAATATAATTTCTTTAGCAAAGTCTTTGGCTAGTCGCCCGCATCCTCATCGTACGGCAAATCATGTACCTCCATGTAATCTCCAAGCAGATCATACGGTGGCAAGGGAGTATCCATTGGCCAGAGGAGTGTCCATTAGCCACCGAAGGTGCCTTGCCACCGTATGATCTGCTTGGAGATTACCTCCATGGGCAAATTGAGACAAATGAGCTTCCTTCGTTTTGATGAATATATCTTCATTATCTTGATGACGAGCTTTCTTCTTCGCCGCTGGCGCCAGCAGACCAACCCGCTGCCTCCGGCCACCGTGCCTGCCGCCCTGCCCGGGCCCGCCCCCTATCTCCCGGCTCATTGGGTGCGTCAATAGGTGATAAACGCGCGGCTGTTCACACCGTTTGGCACGTAATCGCCGCCGATGAGGCCTTTGTTTTAGGGCGGGTGAGCTATCGGCTGCACGGCGGGACACTGTCGCCTGAATCACAACAAACCCGGCGGTGGGACGCGTCTGAGGGGGAGGGGCTTACCGGGTCGTGTCCTTGACTCTTGTGGGTTCTCTTCAAGCAGAGGTTAGGCAAGGACATTTTATAGAATCTCAAAAATAGCCCGATAAAACGCCGATTTTTTTTTTTTAAGTCTACTTTGAAAATGTCATAAAAACGAGAAGTATTGCTATAAAAATAGATAAGGACCCTGCCATGTCCCTCGTACAATCATCGTACAATCTTTTCAGTCTTTGGACAGTCGTTGTGCAAGTTCTTAGCTGTCTTGTTACAGAAATGGTCATGGTCTAACGGGTAAATAGTGATCTGGTGTCGCGACAACAGACGATGGCGGTACATCCAGTCGGAAGTTCTCGGCTCGCAAAGCTCTGCGGTTTCTCATCACTTCATGTTGAAATAATTAGTCCGTCTCCAAGTGGCGCCCGAGTGGTGGCGATCCGAGTTTCTGGGTGGGAGGGCCGCGGGAACATCACAGCAAACAATTAAGCTGATGAGATAACGAGGTGGAGTCGCCCAACAGGAGCGAGCCGGCCTCATGAATACGTCGCGACACTCGCTAACAAAAACACGGTATAAATACGGGGTGAAACCGACTGTTTCAATTACTTCTCCCACACTCTCCAGCGACGAATTCACGACAACCATGACTGCCTGCAAGCTTCCCTTCGCTCTCTCCGTGGAGAACTTGATCGGCGGCAGCCGAAATGACCTTGTCCCCGACATCAGGGCTTCCAGTCCCGAATGTCTTCCACCGAAGAAGCGTCACCTCCTGATCAGCGCAACGCCGAACACCCCCGCGCGCCTGGACACGAACAGCCGGGCCGCAGCTCAAGTCGCGCCGCACGCCGAGAACCTGACTCTGCGGAGTGACGGGGAAATGTCCGATGACGAGGAGATCGACGTCGTGTCCGTCGGCGAAGCAGCCTCACCTGGTAAGGACACGTCCCTGTTGTGCATGGTTTTTAGTAGCATGGATTTCAGCCTTTGTACGTTCCCTAATTTCTTGCCTGACTACAAGACTTCCCTAGACTAGTATCTTAGCTAGGTTTATTAGTGGCTCTTTCACATTTTATTATGTGCTGTTTCAAATATAATTTTATTGTAGTATGAAGAACCGAATAGAGTTTCTTATGGGGTTTCCTTTTATCTCTTCAGCTTCGAGCACGAGTTCAGACCGCTCCAGCCCGGCACCGTCTTCCTGCGGCGACAGCCCGTCGCCCTCCCCGGTAGGCCGCAAGGCACGCACGGCCTTCACCACAGAACAAGTCATGGCTCTGGAGGAGCGTTTCCGCCTGCAGAAGTACCTGTCCGCCGCTGACCGGGAAACTCTGGCCAAGGGCACGGGACTGACCGACGAGCAGGTGAAGACGTGGTTCCAGAACCGCCGCATGAAGCTGAAGCGCCAGCAGCAAGACTTCGCCACCTTCCCGCTGCACGCCGCCGTCACCGTGCCCGGGATGTCCGGCTACTCCCCACAGCCCAACCCCTGGTACGACTCCGCGCACTTCGTCCCGTCCCTCGGCACCGCCGTCTGTGGTCTGCGGCCTCACATGCTGCCCCAGCCCGCCAACACCGTGAGCACCAGCCGTGGAACCAGGTACTCACCGTACCCGTCTGCCCGCGTGTCGCCGTCCGGCCACAGTCACCACCAGATGTCCAACATGTACCTGTCTCCGTACCAGAACAACGTGGCAGCGGCGCACTACCACAACGTACCCGCCATGAACTTGTAAAACGTGAGGATTTGAACATGTCCCACCGTATTGCCGCGCAATACATGACATGAACTTGAAACACTAGATCAAAAGTTCGCTACAGTTCTTTTGGTTGAAACCATTCACTCAGGGATTAACTCATGTACATATGTAAGAGAAAATTTATTTATCGACGTAAAAGGATTACTGTATACGCCAAACAGATTGAGATTGTATGATGCTGTATTACGCTGTGTGTGTAACCGTTGTAAATAGAGCAAAGTATTTTACATATATGGAGCAAATTGTTATTCTATTTTTGACATATCTTTTCCACTTGAAAGATTACTATTTATTTTGTCTACAAGTTTTTAAAATAAATGAATCGAATCTTATATCTGTTGAGTGTTCCCTCTTTACTTTACACTTGCAAGAGTAATTCCATTATGATATTTCCAATGATATATACATGATATCACACTACTATTTGGGCCTCCCCAGTACAGTAAAAAACAGTGGATCCCTCTTGATAAAGGTTAGACATCCCAGTAAATAGTATACAAAGGCAATTCAAACTCTACTACTGGGTAGATTACGGAGATTATCGCCGGGAAGTTTCGCGAGTTCCTTTGACATCCGTCACTCTTCAACCATTCTAGTGACGCTCCGTGATTTATCCAGTCGAAGAGCTAAAATTGTATTTGTACACTCTTGACTACAAGCAAGGTAGGCAGGAACTACAAGTATACAAACTTAGCTATATATGCTATATAATACGGAGTATTGCTGGCAGTTTTAATCTCAAAGCAGATGTCTGTTGGACAGTTAGGTTTTAATTTGATTTTCTGACAGTTTGGATAGAGATTTATAACAGTACATCCTAACATCTGTTTGGAGCACACTATTGAGCTAGCAAAGCCTGCTCACTCCCTACTAGTCTCATTCAATATCATCAAGCAGATCTTTCCGTGGCTTCACTGATGTATCAAGATAGTATCGCAACCCAAGTTTAGGCTGGCGAAAAAAAAGATACCAGCTCGATAAAAACGCCTAAAAATAGTCCGAAGCCCAGTCTGGAGAGTACTCCATGTAGTTTATTTAATAGGCCTATTTTTGGACGTTTTAAACATTTTATCTCGAATATCAGGCTTTCTATACTTTACCAGCTTTTCTTTTAGATATCCTCACACAGAAAAGCCCGACAGAACTTCTGACAAACGCGCCTTACCTCTGCTTGGAGAGGAAGCAACAGTTTATGTTTGACATCTGTTGGCGGGGAAGCGGACAGATGTGGGGGCAGGTGTCAGTCTCCTGTCGACTGTCACACGTTATCAGCTGGTGTAAAACACTCACGGCGCCATCACAACGACCTGATTATTGCTCACCAGTCGATTAAAGAGCCGGCAAAAGGCAACTGCTTCTCGTAGCAACATTTGGTTCCAGCTGACTGCCGATCGTGTGATGATATGGCGCCAGTAGACTTGCTTGCAGGCAGAAGTCGTGCCTGCTTGGAGTATTTCAAGAAAAAAAAAAAGTTTTTTAGGTGTTTTGTCGCGCTTTCTTTTTGTCGGCTCAATAATTATATAATGCACTAGGTCTTTGGTACCAGACGCAAGTACCCATAGAAAAGCCCAACATTAAACGCTTTAAAAAAAGGTAAATGGCTTTAAAAAACGTCTAAAACAGGAGTAGCCCATGCTTGAAAAGTACTTGGAAATATCGTGGTGATGCTAGTGTTGTTGAAATTGGGGGAAGTCTCGTCGTTCGAACTGTACAGAAATCTTCCTTAAATTGATTTTTCTTTCGCAAACTTGATTTAGAACAACAACCCAGCAGTGAGTCCCGTGCCTATGAGCCGAAACAACATATCATCCAAGACCAAGTCCCACTCGATACTATGTTTATATTTGTAGCTATTGTATATCCGGTACAATGCAACGTTTCAATATACACTGTAATTTCGGAGGGGTTTTGTCTTCTGCGTTATAAGATAAGCTCCAAGAACAACAGTTTATATTTCCAGCGGACAGTACGGACACACCACGGACATGTGTTCATCCGCGGTAAGACAATATCCAGACCAGAGTATCAATGAATATTCACACCAGTGATAGAGGTGATAACGACACTAATTGGTAAAACAATAGGATCCATTGCCTTGTTTTCGGACGGGCGCCAGCGGGCCTAGCGCCTTTTCTTTTACGTCTGGTCGCGACTGCCCGGAGCCAGGGGCTCACCTACAATTTGCGAAACATGGAGAAAATTATGAACTATTATTAGAAAGATGGCACATGAGAAGGAACCGGCTCAATTGGTTAGCCCGGCGAACTGAAGTGACTGAAGTAATCCCTTGTCTAGAGATAAGACAATGTGTCGAGACTCCACATCAATCCATGTAGAGATAACGTAAACCATCAAATTTGGACCGAAAAAAAGAATTAAGAATTTGTTTTCTAAAGGCAGCAAAGACAAAGGTTTGAATTTATATATTTACAAAATGTATTTCACCGGAAAAAGAAACGCGTAGGAAGACGTAATCTGTTATTGCAAGGACATTATCCATGGTTATTGGTAGCACGGCAATATTATTTGTACATGTAGGATAGCCTCTACCAGGCTCCCGGAGACGACTGGAGAGAGTAGAAATCGGTCAAATATGCCGAGGAAGTTGTTGAGTACATTTTGCCGCACCCGCAGAGGCTACATGTACTCGTAGTAGACCGTCGCACGAATTTGATGATATTTGACGTAGACTTTTCAAACAGTCAGGGACATGTCCGGACAGATTCTATGCCGACAAGGATCAAGGACAACATTTCCCGTGACGAGATAACCAAGAAGGTTAAGTTTTGTATGACATGTCCCACCAAGGAGGTTAACGAATGGCCTTATCGTACGCTGATCGTGACCGCGCCATAACTATTAGAGTGGCATTTCTCACCATATTTTGCCGATTTTCCGGGGATTACCCCTTGTTTTTACGGCGGGAGGAGCAGGGCTTCGGGAGAACAACTGGTAGACCGGATGGCGCCCCAGAACAAACCACCATCGGCCCGATTAGCGCCGGATAATTAACGTTTCACACCAGGCTGCAAGTGGTTTTTATTCAATTTGGGCGATCAGCGATATCCTGTTTTTATAATGGTATATCGACTCTGCAATAGTATATACTAGTAGATCATTAGAGGTACTCCCGTGAAGGATGTAGTGTACATGTATTCTCTGAAGAGTGGCTGTCAACATTGTCACGGCTGTCTTGTGTTTTCCGCTTGTCTTCGCAACATCTATTGCGCCTTCAAGTCTACGAGTATTGCATTTTATCCAAAATCAAAATCATATCCAGTACTTGCTTGAGTAGCTGCTTTTTGGCGCATTGCATTTTATACTCTCCAAGCCGAGGTTTGGGTTTTGGGGTTATTTTGGGCGTGTTTTTAGCCCTTTTTTTCGGGTTTCATTTTTGCACTGGATATTACATCCCAACCCAAAGTTTAGGGAAAACTTTGGCCTAAAAACACGGCTTGGAGAGTAGCCTGCTCCTACATCTGCCGACTGGAACACCTGTCCGGCTTTGCACGTGTGTGTGTGTGTGTGTGTGGATGGGGGTCCTTTCAAAGGAGGCAAATCGTTAGAAAAATACAATACAGGTAACCTCCTTGCGTATACTAGTTACGTATATGCTGTATACTCTCCAAGCAGATGTTTAGGCTTGGGCTTATTTTTTGACGTATTTTATGTGTTTTTAATTTTTCTGGACTACCGCCGAAGGACTGGTCTGTGTAGGGTCAGTCTGACACCCTGGCTATTTTATCGTGAAAGTTTTCTAAAATTCACGTGCACGCGTGTTTACTTAAATATATACGAAAGGGGGACTCGTCTACTTCTAAGTATTTATACCCTCGAAAATGACACTAAGAGTCTATATCGTAATGTTACGATTAATAACTCTATGCGGAAAATAATGTACCAGAGAAGCAAATATCAAGTTGACTTCATTTATTCAGTCGATATCAAAGAACGTACAAAAATATATTATTTAAAAGTAATAGTGCCTTTGGTCACAAGTTATATTTAAAGTTATATTATTCTCAAAAGTTTTCTTACAAACACGCTCTTCAAAAGCGGATAAAATATCTTGTATCTCTCCATAATATCTTACACAGTGACGGAACTTATTGCACAGAAAATTTTGACTATCCAGTAGCCGGTAAAAGTCAAATTGTCTTTCTCAAGTGTCTCTGGTGTTTACATGTAGACGCCGGACATGTTGTGGTTGTGGTAGTGCGCCGCTGCCACGTTGTTCTGGTACGGAGACAGGTACATGTTGGACATCTGGTGGTGACTGTGGCCGGACGGCGACACGCGGGCAGACGGGTACGGTGAGTACCTGGTTCCACGGCTGGTGCTCACGGTGTTGGCGGGCTGGGGCAGCATGTGAGGCCGCAGACCACAGACGGCGGTGCCGAGGGACGGGACGAAGTGCGCGGAGTCGTACCAGGGGTTGGGCTGTGGGGAGTAGCCGGACATCCCGGGCACGGTGACGGCGGCGTGCAGCGGGAAGGTGGCGAAGTCTTGCTGCTGGCGCTTCAGCTTCATTCGGCGGTTCTGGAACCACGTCTTCACCTGCTCGTCGGTCAGTCCCGTGGCGTTGGCCAGAGTTTCCCGGTCGGCAGCGGACAGGTACTTCTGCAGGCGGAAACGCTCCTCCAGAGCCATGACTTGTTCTGTGGTGAAGGCCGTGCGTGCCTTACGGCCTACCGGGGAGGGGGACGGGCTGTCGCCGCAGGAAGATGGTGCCGGGCTGGAGCGGTCGGAGGCAGGTGAGTCCGTGTTGCGCAGGTCGTCACACTCCGACACCACGTCGATCTCCTCGTCCTCGGAAGTTTCCCCGTCACTGCGCAGCGTCGCGGCGCTCGGGGGTGCGGCGGGGAGCAGGAGGTGGCGCTTCTTCAGCGGGAGGCTCTCGGGGCTGGATGATCTCATGTCCGCCACAGCGTCAGGTGCAGATCCGATCAAGTTCTCCACGGAGAGAGCGAAGGGCAGTTTGTAGGAAGCCATGGTCGTCGACGTACAGCGATGCTAGAGCAGTGTGAGAGAATATTGTGCCAGTAGACAGGCTAGCTGACTTTATAGTCCCGCAGTGTCGGTGACTCGCGTATTCATGAGTCAGCGCGTGCTCCTATTGGTCAGCTCCCGCCACTGGCCTTCTATTGTTTACATTGCTACATGACTAATTATTTCAGCATGTGGTGATGAGAAACTTCAGAGCAACCAGAAAATCCACTTTCATTGATAAACCTTGTCTCGGTGTAAACTAGGCTTTGAATTTACTATCTTCTGAAGGGATCTTGTTTCCCGATGGTTTTCTATCAATTGGGAAACCGTAATATGGACACGAAGAAAGATCCCAAAGTGTCATGTATTTATACTTTGTTTTCTTTCCCAAAGACCATTTCTTCATGTCTTGTTTGTCATTCATGTCCACCTCCCGGGGTACCCCACCCGGTAAGCCCCCCCCCCCCT